GAGTGAAAAATGCCCGTAATGCCCAGCAGCCTGGTCTTTTGTTTGGAGTACGGTCTTTTGTTACAGGGCCCTGTTTCCTTTGTCCGAGTTCGGAGACCCCGGCCACCCATATAAACCATACGTCTCCGATCCCGGAGTCCCCGGCAGGAAGTGGTTAAGAAAACTTACATTTTTCACACAACCACTTGAGAGTCTGCACAAGTACCAATTAGGCACTTCAAACAGCAAAAGCTTTCTTCATTGCAAATGAAGCTATTTCTAGAGAACATCTTAAGTAAGACATGGTCTGAGGAAGCCTGGATTTCAAATAAACAAGTGGATGTCTGGTCCAGAACCACTGTAAAACTCTGCTGCTACAATTAACGCTTGGATTGTACAAAATTCTCTCAACCCTGCACTGGAACTAAATTGCAAGGTTTCATTGCTGGCGCCTGGCAGCACTTCTGCCATGTTGTCGATGAGAGAGTGTTTAACTCTATGAATATGTAACAGACACAGTGAGTGGAAGATTTTTGTCGTAGGTCTGGACCTCCACCAAAACAACTCAAGGACTCACCAGGAATCATGTTCAATCTCAAGCGTTGTGTCCTTTCACACAATGACACTTTGTAAGATTTCTCAAGCATGAGATAATTTCTCAAGCCTCTCAAGTTTTTTGGAGGGTTGAAACTTCTGAAGTTTAAATATGGCTTTTTAAGTTTACCTCCAGGTAAGGCCTTGTCTCTTTAAGAAACACCCAGCTACATTTATACTGACTCTGGCGGTTTACTTGCTACCTCACTCTGCTAAGCATTGTGACACATCAGTCACTGAATACACAAAATCCTGAACACAATAACTAACTATAACACCACAAGAACATTTCTTACCAAGCTGTCATTTTCCTCTCATTGAACTTGTTATTAAGGGGCCATGTTTAACTTGTTGTTCAACAAGTAAGCTTTACCTTTTATCCGTAACTCAACAGACGTTGGCGCAGGTAAGTCTCATTTGAAACAAAACGAAAAGCCTGTGAAAAGTTCTCAGCCAAGTTTTGAGAGGGTTTTGTTCTGAAAATTTCATTTTTAGACAACCGTATGATCTTCTAAAGTCATGAATTCATTCTGCACATTCATCATTCAGTGTTCATGCTCTCTAGCTTTGTTCATACCTAAAGAGGCAGTAAAATGTGTACTCCAAAACTATTCAACTACAGCACTGAGATACGGCCAAAATGATTACTAACTGGGACATGTAGTCGGAGACAAATACACCCATTTCAGGTCAAATGACCTCAATTTGTCACTGTCAAATAAGCAGTCCACAGTCTACCACAAGGCATTTGAGGGGTGGGGTAACAAAGAACAGGGATTAGCAATGACAAAGGAACGTCTTTGTCGCGGTTCATTTGCACAACTTCTGACTTGACGTTAGCTTAGAAGACTTATGATGGACTTCCAAGGACCTGTAATGGCCTTGTAAGGACATGACTATAAGACTGCATTAGACTGCTCTGTGCCAATATGATCAGTTACTTCACACTACCGAGTGGCAAGTGAACCAGTTACAGCCAAGCCACAACTACAGTGACATCCATCACTGAAAACTTTGTGACAGTGACTAAAACTTTGTCTCTGCTCTTTGACTCTAGAACAGACAAATATTGTGGGATACTACCACCAGTCAATGTAAATAGTGGAATTGGACAAAATACACATACCCTTCGACCATGAGTAATTCACGCGGTTTAAAAGCAGTAACTGTAATGGCCCAGATGTAGTCAGCATACAAACTGACAGTCCTATGAAAGTGCATGTGATGGACCAATGTGTTTATGACATGAAGCAAACAGTGAAACTGTCAAGTACAATGTCAAGAATGAACAGTGAACCTGTCAAGTGCAATATTAGTATAACTGGAATGTGATTTACCGTTTCAGTCAAAAGTGATTAGTATGTACTGAGTGAATTAACAGCAAGTTTGTGTATTTTACGACCCTAACCCTCTCACTTCCGTCAAACTCCAGGTTCTGAAGGATTTTGCAGGATAGACACAGGCAGAGCCTAATCATTTTTTTTACTTTGAATGGGGCGTGACGCCCCTGGGAGGCTTTCATACAAAGGCTGCGTCACGGGGTTCTGGCGCAATGAATAACTTGAGAGGATTTGGGTCACGTTCTCGGCAAAAATTGTGCATTGTGTCAGGGTGATGCACTGCAGCTGTGCATCATGGGAAGGTACAATATGCCTACCTTACTGGCTTCTTGGGAAGAACCTGTTGACGTTTGCCACACATCAGGGTGAAATACTGAACAAAATGTGAAGTAAAAAATGATTATTACACTGACAATCAAGAAGAGAAGCAATCAGAATATCCGGACACAAAGTACAATGATACTCTTTGGTTCCCTATCTGTAAGGGGAGTTTTAGAAATTCCAAATCCTTGATGTAAGTGTTGAGCATGAATAAATGCAGAGCAGCTGTGTCGTTAATGGGCCTTGAGCCGGACCAAGAGAGGGCGCTATTTCCTTAGCAATGGAAGCTCCTTTGGTAGTAAGTGCGCATTGCAAGCAAATATGAATCACAAGCAGTCGCATCGCTACCAACAAAATGAACCCTCCTGACCAACGTGGCACTTTTCAACCGATAAGGGGGTGCTTCTGCTCAAGGCGGACACTAAGCTTTTCTGTGTCCAATGAGAATGGCCTAGATGGTATCAGCTAAACTCAATCCAAACGTAAAGCAATCCTCAACACTGCACTACACCTGTACCATAATGACATCAGGCTTCGTTTACATGTTCACTCTCCGATGGCAGTGAGGTGGGATGCGATCCACTGAGTCTCCATAAGAAAGCGCACATGCAAACAAAGCGTGACACCGTGTTCTAGATCTATTGCTTCGTGTCGTTTTGAACAGTGATGGTTGTTTGTTCAGCGACGTGCGTGGAGGTTAAGACCGCCCGGTTCGCACTACGTGTATTACAGCATCGGCTACCAGACTCCATCAGTGGTAATGAGCATCAATCACCTCGTCGCTGTGATGAAAGAGTGGACAGAAGACATTCTCCATCAACTTGTAGGCATGCTCGTAGGCTCTGCACGAAAAAAAATCAAATCACCCATTAATGATTAAAACCCTCCTTTGGTTTCACAGCACAATTATGCACGAATGCCCACAGTCACTCTTGTGCTTGTATTTTCTACATGGAACTCAAACATGCACAGGTTCGGCGCAAAGTGACCCAGGGTCTTTTGTGCAGTCCTCTTCACTGCATTTGGTTTACTGCACAATTATGCACATGAAACAGTGAAGCACAGTTGCTGGGCAGCACAAAAGTGCAATCTGATATTCCTGTGAAGGACAGTTGGTGCAGTGCACAACATGACACAGCTGTGCTTCTTTGTGGTGTTTACCAAGTTACCCAAAGAGTGACTTCAGCATAGCAGGGTTAAGGGTGAATAGGTTCAATTTCAGTCATTGAGTAATTCTCAAAGGAGAATGTACTGGTGAAGTCGAACTCCAATCAAAAGAAAATATTTCATCACGTTTAATTTCCTTTGAACCCGACACAAAAATATAGTTTTACCTGAACAAAGTTGAAGAAGTTCTGAGCCTTGTTACCCCCTCGTATGGTCCGTTAACAACTGACATAGAGGAGACAAACATTTGTCAATGTTGTAGCTTGATCATCCAAAATAAGATAAAATAAAAATGTTTGGTGAGAAATCTTTATTTTCTTAAAAAACATTTGAAAGAGAGCTTCCCTGTAATGTCCACAATAAAAATGGTTTCATTAAAAAACGCAAAAACTTAATTATGAGGTCAGAAAGCATTTCAAACCTGATGTTATTTACAGCTTTCAGATTCAAACAAAAACTTGAGAGCTAAATGGATTAATATATTAAGTCACTTGAGATTACTTGAAACTGAAAAAATGGCTTTCCTTGAGGATTATGAGCAATTACAGGGTACTGAAGCATGATGTCATTTACACCAGGAAGTGTAACACAAACGAATGGAGCACTCACGCATGTTAATTCAAATGCTGTTTCCCACACTAATATTGTTTGCGTGCATAATTAAGTGTGTGACTAATCATTTTGGTATTCTAAATGCCATCTCCTCAGAGCAAGTTCTAGTCTTCAAATTATGACAATGTTTGATTTATTCCCTTACTCTCTTTCATCTCGTCCTCGATGTCCACGTCAAACTTGATCCTATCCACAGCGCCTGGGGCAAAGTACAGCTGGTACAAGTCCTGCGCTTCCCTGTGCAGGGACTGCTTCTGTTCGTCGGTCATGTCTGGCACCAGGCTGCGTCTGTTGAAGTCCTCTGTGAAGGCCAAATGCAAGCAGAATGTGTAACATTTCTGTCTTTTACTGGGATAAACTTGTACGAATAAAAAAATATGTAATATCACTATATAGACGATAAAAGATAAAAAGCAATGCATTGTTCTTGAAGGAAATTCCAGCACAAGGGTCTTTCTCCATTGCACATTTAACAATCCATTGCAGCAATATGAGACATCGCATATTTCACACCGGAGCAACAGACGACGGAACAAAGCAAATGATTCCATGCACCATAGACACATATGCTCCAGTTTTCACAAGCAGTCTATACAGCTGCCCCAAAACACTCCAAACACAGAGCCCAAGTGGTCACTAACACTCCGGCCACCGGACTTATTCTTCTCTCGTACAACACTGTCAGTGAACATACCCACTGTGAGGCAGAACTGTAAGATGTTGAGGGCGCCATCCCGTTTCATGTACTGTAGAAACGGGAAAAGTAGGGAGTGGTTGCCCAGTATCTCAGACATCTCATACTGGAGTGCCTAAATATCAACAAACAAAATAGTAAATTTGGTGGAACTTTTTACAGTAAATTTCAGTAGACGCCAATCTTCACTGACCTTTATTCTTATTGGATATAAACTCAGCCATGCTAAACTTGAATGGTTTTTGGAGTAGTTGTGTGCGATGTCTGCAAAAGGAAGTAGCATGTTTAGGGTGCAAATGTGTACCAGTGTTGTACAACTCAAGTCCAGGATTCAGACTCGAGTCACATTTTTCATGACTTGGACTCGACTCGAGTCACATTTTTCATGACTCGGACTTGACTCGAGTCACATTGGGTGACTCGGACTTGATCACGATGACTCAGACTTGAGCTTGGTGACTCGTGATTCGAGTCATGCATTTTCATTAAACATATTTAACTTATACGCAGTCGAAAATTAAATTTTATGCACCCGTACTATCACTGGTTTGCATGCGAGAAGCATCGTCGCATTGCACATTTTCCACTTTGGCCATTTACGTACGGCTAAATATCCACTGAAGAGTCAACCAGACGTGTTATATTCTGTATCCACAAACTGTGAAGCGGTCATCAAATATGCGCTGGGCACACATTTGTTATTTACATGGATGTACATATTCAGCCTCATGGATATGAACACTTTTAGCGAAATGGCCCATGCGTAAAAAAAAAAAATGCGTGGCCTACACTGGGCGTGTGAAGTTGCTTGGGTCTGGGCGAAGTGGTTGTGGTGTTGATACGGGCATTTTGAAATGACTGGATTCGGCTCTGGATTCGGAATTTAAAATTTAAATGGTGGATGATTTTCATAAGCAAAAATATACCCATAACTTTTGCAATGTATGTAGTTAATCAGCATAAACAAAACAGAGAGCACACAACAAACTTACAACTTTGATCATGAATAATAGGCTGAACAACTTGATTCATGACTTGTGACTTGGGACTCAGACTCGCGGTTTGAAAATCATGACTCAGACTCGAGGTTTATGACTCATAACTCAAAGTTTGTGACCCAAGACTTGGACTTGAACTCGAGGCTTGAGACTCAGGACAAGGACTTGGCATTGGTGACTCGACAACAACACTGGCGTATACTTTGGAATGCGACTATGGAATACTGAACACCTGAAACTTGGACTGGACGCTTGAAAAGTCTTCTTAGGGCCAGCATTTCGTGACAGAATTGAAGTCTGCTTCAGTGGGGATCAAACTTTTTCTACCTTTTAAACAAATTTCAGTTGCTAAAATGGAGAAATGTTGCAACTTACGCTGGATTTCTCAACTGGATGGACATTACAGAATGACTCCAGGAGAATCACTTTCTCGGACGGAGGGTCGATAGCTGGTGGAAACTGCAAGGGTAAAACAAAGAGAAAATTTGAAAAAGGATGGTTTAAGCTTTGGGGCTTGAATTGGTGCAAATATCGGCACTTTCTATCATGTCTGACACTGAGGTAATGTGATGTGGTGGTTGATACGGTTGAACAAAGACAGTGACAGAGAAGATACGGGTATCATGGCAACGCAACGCAATACAATTTGAATATTCTCAGTCTGTAATTCAGTACTCACTGGTTCTTCATCAAAGAATATCATGAGGAGCTTGTTCACGATGTCCTGCAGGTGACAACGAAGGGGGGAAAAAAACAAATACAAAAGGTAATGACGGAGAGCTGGTAATGACGCATACATTTCTATGTGGCTTAGTCCCCGTGATCTTTCACTAGCTGTAAACCTTTATCATGATGCTGCAATGTTTGTCTTGTTCCCTGTAGACCCAATGACAATGGTAATACAACTTCCTATATTGATACTGGGAACAGACTATTTTTCCATTCCAGCCTCAGTTTAGTCACATTGCTTTGAATGGTAGAAAGCAAGATGGCTGCCCCAAGATAAAGGTCTATTCTATCTACATATTCCTAGTTGTCTCAAACGTTGACGAAGGGAAGATTTGGTCTAACTACTCCACTGCGTCATTCAATATTTTACTGGAATACTTGGGTTCTATAAGGGAGTTTACTCACTGGGTCGGCCACCACATCCATCCCGAGTAAGAAGACCGAACCGCTTACCACTTCTCTCACAAATGTTTGGGTACTCCTGAAGGAACACAAACCAAAACTATGATCACAACGTGCCACTCTGAGACTTTGAGAGTTATTCCTAAATACCCAAGGTACTTGTAGTTCCACCTGTCTGTAGGTCGGGCTGTCCGGCTGTCTGTAGGTCAGGCTGTCCGGCTGTCTGTAGGTCGGGCTGTCCGGCTGTCTGTAGGTCGGGCTGTCCGGCTGTCTGTATATTACAGTATCATCTATTTATACACAACCCTTCCATCTTTCACTTACTTGTTATCATGGGAATTAGCAGGGATCAGCACCGGGAAGAGCAGCTCACACAGGTGTCTCAAGTACTCCAGCTCAGCTTTGCGGTTCCTGACAGCGCAATGGAGATGATTACCGTAGGTCTTGATCACAAGGTCTTGAAACTCCTCCCCCCATTTGGCTGGAGATGAAGAAAAGAGGTGAAACGATTCCATTTTTGCACACAAGCCACCAGCTCATCTTTCACTCTGATTCTCTGGACATTTTTTTAGGGATGAAATCCTAGAATCTGCCCCAATCTATCACTAAGTAGTAAATTTACACCAGATATTTCAACAGCACCGCTGCTATACTGGGCTCCGTACACGAATAAGAAACATGTTTTCTCAAGGTTGCAACTCCTTTGTGGGCCCTGTAGGCACAGGGCACCCTGACTTATTTCCACCGGAATATATGGTCTTTGTTGAAAGGGTCCACTACCAACCTCTTTTTTGCCGATGTGGGGGTACCTTGACTCACAGGGCGGTTATCATACAATATGGGTTAAGCATGGGTACATGGGATAGAACTCATGATAAATGAAGCAAAGACACCAGCTCATTACAGGGGTTGATACTGCATCACACCACGGACCATTTACCCAGGGATGTGCAACCACGAGCGGCTCCAGTGCAAACACAGTGTGACCTTGGTTCCATGCGTGTTACGGATTGTTATTACCCCCGCAGGCGCTCTCGACTTTCTCGAAAAAAACTCGCGACCACATGACACGTGTTGCAGCATGTACAGAGCAGCCGTGGTTATGCCGAGACGACGCGCCGACGCGGTGCTTAAATCTATTCGTTTTGACGAAAAAATCTTCTTCATTTATCGATTTTAAGGAGATATGAAGTTTTAATGAGGTAAAATTCCCCAACTTTTCTCAGAATGTATAGGATGAAATATCTTGAGCAGCATATTTTTAGAAAGGGTGTACCCTGACTTAAAATATTACAAGAAAACAAAGTGGTAGACAGGCATATATGTTTTATTATTAGAGAAAGTGTTACATAATCCAATTTAATTTCTGCTTTGATATTGTGCCAGCCGTAACATGCACTGAACCAGCTCTGAGCTTAAGTTGCACATGCCTGGGTAAATGGTCCGTGATCACACAATCATACTTTCAGTGTAGTAACCCTACCCCCCAACATAATCTGGCTAGAAACCCTGCCAGACACATCAAATTGCATTCATTATTAAAGTGGCTTGCCTGCCACAAGTATAACAAGATCCAACAGGTCAACTCTCCCCAAGGCCAAACAGCCTGGGAGTCTGTGGTTGCCAGTCACCATTAGATCCAACAGTGGCATTGTTCAACAGGACTAGATCCCATTAACTTAACATAACCAGTTTATTGGCTGCTGTTGATATCAAAATGCATTAGACTTTTTCACCTGATGGACTGTGCTCCATCTTGCAGGGTTAGGGTTAAGACTTGAGATTCAAATTTGGGATCTCTTAACCCACACACAGCATTATGAATGACTTCCAGACATACCTTTTCGCTTGGCTCTGAGTAAAACATCAAGATGACTCAGGGCAGCCTTGACGAGCTTGTCGAGTATGAACGTCGGTAGGTCAACCTCCCTGACACGACGCAACACCACGGCGACGATGTGACGCAGGGTAACTCGCAGCTCGTTCACAAACTCCTCCTCCTTGCTGATCAGGGGCCTGGACGGAATGATGGGATAGGTCACGTATTCCGTTTTCAGAACTGCAGGAACTGCATCGTGGGACAGCTTTTGAGAAGGCTTTTGATGAATTTGTAATGACTCTGACCAACTACGGTGCCTCTTGGTGGAGGAAAGGCTGGCATGTTAAGGCTGAATGATCATCAAACATCATATAGGAGATCTTACTGAATGTTTCCTTCATTATACTTCCTGCTGCTGATGAGTTTGGGCAGTATTGAGTTCGTCAAAACATTTCAACTGAATGGCTCCTTGTGTAGCACAGTGTGTGCTGACAGGAAGATAAGGAAAGGCATGGGATCACAGAAATAACAAAAAATCTCTGGAGTCAAGAGAAGGCAACGTTTTGAGAGAACAACAGAGGGCTTTCATGGACAGACCAAACAGACCCAAAGGTCAAATCACTCACGTGTACCAGCTGTAGATATAATCTTTCAGAATCAGTTCAAAGAGCTGAAAAAAAAAAAATTATGCAAACTCGTTACTTGGCATACTCCTCTTCTCATTTAAAAATCCAAACAAACAACAGGATAACAAAGTAAGGTGTACCGGCTCTCTGCCCCCAGATAGATTCCTCTGGTGGTCACTGCTTGGTGAAAACAATTTAGTTAGTGTCTTTTCTGTGTGCCCTTTTTAATCTGGTACTTATTTTATTTATTTATGTCTAGTCTTTGGTAGTAAATCAGGTTATTTGTTGTTTAGGATAGTTGCATGAAGTTTCTTGAATGATCTGAGAATGAGAGACTTTGAGACTCTGGTGGCAGCAGACATACTGTGCCTGTTTCCACAGTCTTGCACAAACTCAAACCTACGTACGCATGCTCAGGACTCGCGAGAGGGCCAGCAAACCTAGGCATGCATGCTCAGGACTCGCGAGAGGGCCAGTAAACCTATGCACGCATGCTCAGGACTCGCGAGAGGGCCAGCAAACCTACGTACGCATGCTCAGGACTGGCAAGAGGGCCAGCAAACCTATGCACGCATGCTCAGGACTGGCGAGAGGGCCAGCAAACCTACATGTATGCACGCATGCTCAGGACTGGCGAGAGGGCCAGCAAACCTACGTACGCATGCTCAAGACTGGCAAGAGGGCCAGCGCGTCTGCTACCACCAGCGTCGCAAAAGTCTCTCGTCATTCCAGTATTTGTCAGACAGACTGTATTCACGAGCCAGCCATCTTGAATTGAAAGTGAGGTAAACTTTTTTTTATTTCGGAAACCTGTGAATAAAACTGAAAGCATTGAAAGAAACTTCAGTACAATTTAATGCCATTTATGCTGATGACTCATTTAAAATTTGTGATTATTTAGGTCTAAATGTGTTAAGCAACATTTAAAAGGAAATAAAATAAAAGTGAACCCGAAGTAGTCTGGCATCACAGCATTTACACAGATTACATTGAATAAGATAGATTCTGGGAACACAATCAAGAATTACTTCCCTGTGAATAAGGACTATTGAGATGAAGCAAAAGGTGAAGCAACAGATCCGTTTGAGAAGAAACCTACCTCAGAAAGGGCAATATCCACTCGTTCTGGTATGTAGATGTCATTCCACGGCTGCACTTTAGTCAGAGTCAGATCAGGCCTGCCCCAAAAAAAGATTCTCATAAGAACAAGAAATCAAAATCAGACAGCTTCTGACAGCCTTGTGCTTTGTTACAAGTCCCATTTTGTCTGCAATCCTTCCATAGCCAACAAAGACAAGACACCAGATGGAAAGTTTGCTTTTACTTTCAAGCCAGACAAGCGTAAGCAAAACACATTGAGAAATTGTGTCTCAACAACTTGAAATCTAACCGAGGTTTAAATGCATCTTATTAAAAAAAGGCTCTTTTGTCACATCTGTAAATGAGTTTAAAGAGCTACATGCATTGGTGGGAAGGCACAAGGATTTATCCACTACAAACACAGGGCAAGGGTTCCCCTCGTTTTCTCTGTTTTCTCCTCAATGATGCAATCTACATTCAGAATTCGCATCTTAGCATGAACAGAGAAAAAAAGCCCTTTTAAGCTTGTTTAAGTTGAGTTCTAAAGACAAATGATACTGCGTTCGATTTGGATGCTTTCATATTTATTTGGACAGATAAAATCAGAGAAAACATGTTTTTACTTAGACACGCTCTTTAATACAGTCTTTCAGTTTTACTGCACTGAGTTACTTCCATAAAGCAGGTGCCAGTCAAGATTTTAGCTGATGGGGTGTCTAAGTGTCTTTTCGACACCACATGCATATAACGTCAGACATCTTTTTTGGTAAAAACTTCAGACAACGTGCTTTTCATTTCAAAGGGTAGCTTTGATACCCTTGGTCTTAAGTCCTTGACCCATGTGACTGCATACTTGTGCCTGACACAATCCGCATCACCACACACGGTGCAGATGAGGGCTGATGGATGCTGACTGGTTGGGTGGGGTTGTTGTCTTTCGAACATGATAAGAAGGTTAGGGAGGACGGACACGTGGCTGAAGAGGATGTAGAAGGATGCCATACCACCCAGAAAGAACCAGGGTATTGCCAGAATGGACATGTGACTGGTGGCAAGATTTAAGAGAAAATCAATGAGACAGTACAGCATATACATTTCCATGTTATTCACTGAACTCTACCATGGAGCTATTAAAATTCTATGAACCATTTCAAAGAAAATATGTCTGTAAAAATGAAGAATGTTTGACTCTGAGAGGGCCTCATGAATATGTGAGACATCTCCATCTCTGAGCTTTAGTCTCAGAATGTGAGGAAGAAAATGATTAGATTTGATTATGTTTTTGTCTGGCACATATTAAAACATTTTTCTTGTTTGATTTGTAGTTTGTGGTTATTAAAATTGTGGTAAAAAAATTGTGAAAATAGAAAACCTGTCTTTGCAAGTGCAAATTAAAAAAAAAGCACGGGAGATTGGTTACAAACAGATAGGCTACTCGCTTTAAAAAAATAAATGCATAAGGCTCCCACTTCAGGCTTATAAACAAATTATTAGTCCTCTCAAAATAAAATAGTTCTTAACATTAATATTTCAGAATTCACTTGTTTGCTGCAATTAAAAAGCATTTTTCCTCCATCAGCCACAGTAAGAGGGACTAAGTCTGACTTTATCTCGTCAATTTCCCTGTGGCACCATTTCTGCCCCGTCCCCCTCTCAAGCCCTCATCTCGGGTTCGGGCTTATTTCTCCATGCTTAGACCAAGCCCCCATGGGCGTATTAAACAGTGAACCAGTTGAAGGACCCTGTCACTGTTGACAGCACGAACACACGATGAATGCCACAATCTTCTCATTTATTTTTGCATAATAAAATTCAGGACAAATGATATGAAACATCACTCACTTGTAAAAGACAACAGTGAGCAATGTCAGGCAACCAACTGCAGCTGTAAAATGTCGGTTCCTGGCCATTTGCTCTCGCAAACCGGCGACTTCGTCGCAGATTACCTGCCAAGTAGCCATCTTCGTGAATTTTTGTTGCAGATTTGAAAGAGATAGGTTCCGTGCTGAAGTATTGTTCATTTGCTGTGTCGATGATCAGGGAACCGTATACAATCAATGAAAAATTGGCACCAGTCTAAACCTTAGTCGGAAAACGTTGAAAAGTTACGTGCGAGTCCCAAGCTTCTGCAGCAAATGCTGCGAGCGCGTGTTCGAGAGCTTGTGTTGTGTGTAGTACGAATTTTGAATCAGTTCACAGGTCAGTTTTCAACGTCTTCAGTCCACCTTGCCGATTTTGCGATGTTAATCAAATTTAGAGAGTACTTCTGTTGTGCTGAATTTCTTTCTACTCAAATCGTGCGTGCCACTCTAGAGCTCTTAGTGGGTTTGAAGAAGTTCTGGGTTGTCGGTCTTAAAAAGTCTGTGGCACGGGCGTAACGAGTTTAGCCCAGGTTGGCGGTTGGACTAGGACTAATTTTCCTTCCATGCATTACGGCTGACGGTTTCTTGCCCGGAAGCCCAAGCAAAATTCATAGAAAATAACTACTTTTCATGAAATTAACTTGAGTAAGTTTTAGCATGTTAGGAAGTGCTTAGAGCAAGGAATTCCTTGCTTTATGGGCAGTGCAGAGGGAGAAAGAATGCTGCTAACTCAGCTGGTAGAAAGTTATTCTCATAATGGGTTTGCATCATTGTATGATTGCTAGATATTCGTCAGTCTTTGACGAACATCAATCTGTCAATCCTGCCACCCTAAGTGGATCAGCTTTTCTGTCTAATTCACAGCTTTTAAATAATACTGTTTTCAGGTTTTGGGAAGCATGGGTGGGGGGGGGATCAAAGATTTCATCCAGTATCAAGTGACCTTGACTGTGCCCAACCAGAGCACAGTTATAGTGAGGGCGTGTTTATTCTCCTCTGCAATATTCATGAGTAGATTCTGCTTTTTTGTGCTTGTGGAACTTAATTTAATAACAAAAACCTACTATCACTGAGGGATGCATTGTTCGCTGTCACAATTTCAGGGTAACAGAAGTCCATCATCCGACACCCTTTTTTCAGTGTTATGTGTCATTTAATTAAATTTGCCCAAATTTAATAACTTGAAAAACTAATAATATCACATGAATTGACTTTTGTACAGAATGTGTCTGATGCAAATCAGAAATTTCAAGGATGGACAGATCAATTGCAGGACCCCAGCGCCGAGTAGCAACAAGGAAGAGAAGTCTAACCAACACCAATGCAAGGAGCAACATAGCTGCAACAAAGAAACCAAAGGGCGCTGACAGTGAAAACTCTGAGAGACCTCATAGAACGCACACCTGGTGCAATAGTAGTACTGTCCACAATCCTAGTGGAGTACATTCAGCAGAGACTCAACCATCATTTGCTGAAGGGATGTTCTTAGCTGATCATTCGGATGGGTCAGGAAACACCGAACAGCTCCCTTTAAGTTCAAACTGTACTGCTGCTGTTTCCAATTCCCCTGCAAAGATCCATTCTGAAATAGAAACCATCCCTCACAAGAAACCTTTGTTTAAAGCACAAAGTAGAAATAATGGAAATCAGAAAGACTCCACGTTGTCAAGTGGCGGTTGCATCAGTCATGGAGCAGCACCCAAGGGAACCCAGGTGCCAAACAGTCCCCTGGTGTGGCCAGATGATGCAAATGACGAGGAAGACTGGAGATTGGCTGCTGAAATTGACTGTCAGAATTCAAGGTCTGCAAGACGAGCAGCCAGTCAAAGATCAACTGCTGTACAGGAGGTAACATCTTTCTTGTCTCATTCAGAAAAATGTACTGTCTTTAAAAGCTGTTCAGAGATTGAGAAATTAGACTTTCAAATTTGAATGCTCAAAAATCCATGTGATCTGAAAATTTGATAGTTTCTGTTGATGTGTCAACTTCTTCATTGAGATGAAATGAAGAAAAGTCCAATCACTGTCTTCCTTTCCGACTAATTGGAATTTGGAACTGTATCAGTTTGAATGACCATATAGTTCCTCTTACTGGCTGCATTATTTCCCTTTAGTGTCTGGCTGATTGACGGGACACTCCTTAAGTCCTTTTGTCTTGATTTATTACACTGACAAAAATTTTGTTTCTGATTTGTTATTCGCTGCTTCAAGAATAACAATTAAATGTAAATGATTTTGCAGGAGGACACATCATTCTGTTCCAGTCCACTACCGCCCACCCCACAAGTTGCTCGCTTAAAAGCCACCCGGCGGTTGTCATCAGTTAAACTACATGCAACTCCGCATGCTGCCGGCTGCTCACAAACTCAGAACAACTCATTCACAGATTGGGACAGCGAGGATTCCTTCTATGACAAACTAGACCTGGATCAACTCATTGCTGATTCCCAGACGTCTGATGTCGGCTGGGCCAGGGTGTCTAGCAAGCACGACCTCCGAGCCAATGGGGAATGGCATGAGGCTTCCTCCCTAGCAAACGCCGGAGATTGTCCCTCTGAGAATGAAAAATTGTCACCCCAATCTCAAGCCCATCAGGGGAGCACACAAGATAAGACTAGGAAATGTAGCGCCTCAACAGATAAGGTGCAGACGAACAGTCACATCCATGCACCACAACATCCAGATAAAGAGGAGATTAGAAACTCAGATGCCAATTCTGTGACTTCAAAACAAGAGAAATGGTTCAGCCACCTGGGTGAGAAGACCGGAAGCATGGTTCAGAATTCAGGATGTCATGCCAATCTTAGATCAATCTCAAAGACTGAGACTGCAGAGAAGCAATCATTCACATCACAGGTGCAGTCGTCTGGGATTGAAAAGCCTCTCGCTGATCCCCAAATGGCAAGGCTGTCCCATCAAGGAGACAGTTTTAGAGGGTTTCAACTCGGAAGCACTGGCCAATCATCCCACACTGAACTAACAACCCCCAAAGTTACCCCAGGTGCTACCAGACTGCGGCAGAGACTACAGAACAATGCCCGAGTGGTCACGCCACAGCAGATGCGTCACACCGAGCTTCGCCAGGCTAAGGTGCAAGAAGCCCTGACAGAAATGCTAGAGGAATCCAACGGCATCAAAGACAATGACATCGGCCCTTTTTACGGTCTACCCAGCAAGGTCGCTGAGTTGTTAAAGTCCCAAAGAGGAATAAACAAGCTGTATGGTAAGACTTCTTGACTTTCAGTTGAGACAGAAATCCACTGCAGTGCCATCGTATTAAGAAGGCCATCAGTCAGACAAGGGAGTATACATGTTCCTGTGTAGGACTGTATTTAACTACATGCATGTATCAGTTAAATCCACAACCTAACCATCGTATGATTTCCAGAATGGTTAAAGACTTTGTGCAAATATAAGATATTTTAACAGAATAAATTTGAGCAATACATGCAGAAGTGCCCTTGGATTGGGGATGAGTGCTTATTGAAGTAGGTCACAGGATGCCTTTTTCAATCTACGCCACTTCTTGCTGTAAAAATAAATTTGTATGAATCCGAGTTCCTCAGTTTGAACGTTGCTCATCAACTGATGGACCATGTATAATTAAGAACTATTTTTTTCATATTAAAGACCAACTGAAATATTAATGTAGGATACTCTGCTCAGCAAGGCTAAGATGTTACTTACATTTGTATTTTTCAGAATACAATTCTATCTAACCTCACACTGCTGCATTTAATTAAAAAAAGGCAGTTTGAACAAATACAGTACTCATTTGTTTTTTCTACAATTGGTCCTAACAATCAGACTGGCAGCATTCTTGCCTAACTCTCCCGGCCATCCAGGAAGGCCGCAATCTCATCTACTCCTTGCCCACTAGCGGAGGCAAGACCCTTGTTGCTGAGATACTCATCATGAGGCAGTTGCTATGCAACAAGAAGGATGCCCTGCTCATACTGCCATTTGTCTCCATCGTGCAGGAGAAAGTAAGATGCCCCAAGATAATCTTGGTCTTGAATGTTAACCCCTCACCGCCCTGGCTCGGTCGAAATCTACTATCAGGTTTTTGCAGTATTGTCAAATTGCCTTGATAGAAATAGAACCCTGTTATAAAAGAACTGGAAAAACAAAGGAAACAAGAGTTCAAGGGTCTTCAAGATTTGTTCTTTGTGACAGTATTGTGTTGTAAGAGTGCAAGTGATTCTGATAGGCAACTGCTTTTCCAGCAATTTCATGTGGTGATAGCACCCAAAATCCTGCGAGATAACTGTTGGAAGCGTTACCTATTTGAACATGGTAACGTTTACAATTGTTTAAAATCAGTCAAGATTCCAAAGTTTTCAAAAGATTTAAAATGTCGGAAACATTTCTACAGATGCTTGTGAGGTTTGTGAAAATACCAAAAGTGTGAAATGGAAGAAAATCCAGCCTTTTTGGAAACCAGGTGTGACTTCCACCCACACAAGCATAGCCAGCCAGCACTTGCATGAAATGTGGCACTTGGAATGCACAAAAATAGTGTAAACATTGTCAAAAATTGCAGGAATTCAAGTAACATCTAATGGTTGCATTTTTGACATCTTTCCTTAATCTCACTTTTTTTCCACATCTCAAGGCCTCAGACTTTGATGAGGGTACTGTGAAAACTTTGAAAACTATAAAAACAAATTTTCTTCAGGTGGTCTCCCTGTCGACCTTTGCCATTGAGCTAGGCTTCCTGGTGGAAGAGTATGCCGGGAGCAAGGGTGCCATTCCACCCCGCAAACACAGAAAGAAGAAGACGCTCTACATCGCAACCATTGAGAAGGCCCATAGTCTAGTCAACAGTCTCATACTAGAGGGTAGGGTTGAGAGTCTGGGGCTAGTCGTAGTCGATGAGGTGAGTCCTTGCAGTGTTTTCTCTTATCATCTGTGAAGTGCATGTGTTTTGCTGCAAATTTTAATGATCAGATGCCGTTGAACATTTCTGAAAATTGGGGGAACGGGATATAAACTATACATGTATTCACATGGTACACACACACACA